GTAGTCCCATAGTCACTATGAACGGAGTTCCAATTTCTTGGTCTAACCATGTGAAATGCAACTTGAACATAAATAACTTTTAAAGATCACATTAAGGAGGACATCCATGCCAAATGTAAGAAATATATAAAATGTTTGTATCTTCTGATAAACCAAAAATCCAAATTCTGCCTGAAGAATAAACTTCTAATATTTAAACAGGTTTTTCGTTAGACCAGGACAAAAACACCTCAAAGGATTCAGAATAAAGCACTTAAGATGATTTTGAAGTTGCCTTCATGATACAGTACTACCGAGATACCGAGAATTGATTGGCAATCCTCAATTGCAATGATTAATTCCCTTTACATTTAAATAAAATTTAGTTTTAGTTTTAGTATTTTAAGATGTCCATTGTTATACTGACATGCATGTTTAGAAAACCTGTTTAAAATACTGAATTGCCAAAGCAGGAACAATGTGAACACACTTAGCTATATATTATAACAATTAAGGCTGGTAAGTTACTGTAGTAGCTGGAGCACCTAGATGAAAATGAAAAGTAATAAAAGAGTTAAAACATAAAAACTGACGGTTCATGTCATTTTTGATAAGAGGGAAAATGCAAACCGTCGATTAATTTCAGAGTGCCTTATTAATATTTGTTTGGCGGCAATGAGGACGATGATGGCGTGACTCTTAGAGTGTGAGAATTAATATAAGGAATAATTCCACATGTTTGGTGTAGTTTTAGGGGAAAAAGGTGCTCAGCGATCCAATAAAGGAAATTGTTGAAGTTTCTTTCCTCGAAAAATTTAACGGCAACTCCTAGGATTATCAGAGCAACAAACAAAATTTAAATAAGATTAGTTGAGATTCGCATTTATGATCAAACAAACCTAGTTTTCTAGATTACGTTTTCAAAATGTGTCAAAACATGATTAGGGTAAATGTACCAGTTTTGACCAGAGACGAATTTCGCACCAACTCGTCACCAAGTTTTCTGGATTAATTAGGACTATAATTTGGTGGATACGAATAGTTCAAGTTTTGGGCGCAAAGATGGGACAGCGATAAAAACTTTTTTATTTCGTAAGATAGAGGTTTGATTTTTTTTGCAGCTAATAGTTTTTCGCCATGCCATGTATAAATCTTAATTGTAATTGAAATGTAGCTGAAATATAAAAAAATCAGTTTAAAATCAACTTTCATCGAAACGACCAATCATTTTTTTTTTATATAATTACTTTATTTGTACAGGCTCAATCGAATAAACTTTACAGAGCCGAGTTATCCTTTGCGTTATACATTATTACTGTCTTATATTTAAGGTAAAAGGAACTGTCAGTGTGGAAACTCGGTACTCGCGGTTGTCTCGAGGTTAGTGGAGATTTACATTTTTGTGGATGGGAAAAGGGAAGAAGGAGGTTTGAAATGTGGTTAACGATACAACTATTTAATTAATCCTAAAGCATGAAATTATTTTTATTCATCTTGAAAACAAACATTGAAAAAAAAAACCCACACGTACAAAATACAAACTAAACACAAGGTTAATCAAACTTACAATCTTATCCTTAAACTAAACATATATGAGTTTCATAAACTCCAGATCGCATCTAGCCAAAATATCACGAACTGGAACATTAGGTTGTCACCTCGAGCCCGAAGGGAATCATAAAAATGTGATCTGACTCCACGATACTCCGCACAAGACCAAAGGATGTGATCAGCGTCCTGGTAACCTTGTCCACATTCACAGAGATTGCTGTCTCCCAACCCCACACGGAACAAGTGAGCGTTTAGACAATAGTGATTGGACATGAGACGAGACATCACGCGTATGAAGTCTCGACTCAAGTCCAACCCTTTGAACCATGCAAACTTCGACACCTTAGGGATAATTGAATGTAGCCATCGTCCCAAGCTCCCTTCACTCCATTGATGTTGCCAGCTAACGAGCGACTGCTGACGATAAATAGAGAAAAATTCGCCTATAGTGTTGTTTGTCGATCATAAATGTCGCCTTCCATAGCGCCCACCTTCGCAAGTGAATCCGCCTTCTCATTGCCCAAAATTGAGCAATGCGAAGGGACCCACGCGGAGGTGATGATGAAAGAGCGCACGGATAAAGTACTAAGCAGTTCTCGTATTTTCAAGAGAAAATACGAGAAGTGCTTTACCGGCCTAATGGAACGGATAGCCTCGACAGAACTGAGACTATCCGTAAACATAAAGTAGTGGTCTGGAAGAAGTGAAGCAATAGTTTCCAAAGTGTAGTGAATTGCTGCCAGTTCAGCCACATACACAGAACAAGGAGCTTCAAGTTTTCGAGAGGCGCTATAAAATTCATTAAATACACCAAAACCAGCGGACTCCTCTATTAGAGATCCATCTGTGAAAAACGTTCTTGCAGAATCAACATGGCCAAACTTTGCAGCGTATAATGACGGAGCAATCATAGGACGATGATGCTCTGGAATTCCGCGGATTTCCTGCGTCATAGATAAATCAAAATTCACTGAATTGCCGAAATCGGAGAAGACTACACGATTGGGCTTATTTCTTGAAGGGCTGACATCCTGTGTTAAATATAGGTAGTACAATGTCATAAAACATGTTTGAGGATTTAGCTCCAGAAGCTTCTCAAAGTTTTCGATCACCAGTGGGTTCATAACTTCGCAACGGGTGAGGAGCCTCAGAGATAACTCTGAAAAACGGACGGATAGTGGCAACATGCCCGCCAGCACTTCGAGACTCATAGTATGAATCGAGTGCATGCATCCTAACTCGATACGAAGACAACGATACTGGATCCGTTCTAGCTTGATGATGTGCGTTTTAGCCGCCGACTGGAAGCAAAAACTACCGTACTCTAAAACCGATAAAATCGTTGTCCGGTACAACGTTAGAAGATCTTGTGGATGGGCTCCCCACCACGTTCCGGTAATTGATCGAAGGAAATTGATCCTTTGATGACATTTTCGTCTCAGATACTCAATGTGGGATCTCCAGGTGCATTTGGAATCGAACCAGACCCCAAGATATTTGAAAGACATGGAATGAGTGATCGGCCTACCCAAAAGTTGAAGCTTCGGTTGTGCTGGGCTATGCTTCCTAGAAAAAACAACCAACTCAGTTTTCTCCGTGGAGAACTCGATACCTAGCTGAATAGCCCAAGTAGAAAAATTGTTCAAGGTATCCTGTAAGGGTCCTTGCAGGTCAACCTCTTTTGGCCCTGTGATAGACACTACCCCAAGTAACACTTGCAACATCTTGCATGAAAAATAAAAAAAAAATCCAGAAGTTATATATTAATTGCTTCTAAAACATCCTGTTTTAGACGCGACAAGCACTTGTTATCTTGAAGTTATAATTTGATATTGCATGTCTCAATTACCAGTTTATAACACATTTATAACTGATTGTATTTGGTGAAAACTGGCTAGCCTTATATACAACATGTTTTCATATTATGTCATTATTAGAAACATGAATAAATCTGAGATATAACTTATTTATAACATGTTATTAATTAGTTATATTTCAGTTGTACTCATGTTTCCAAAAATGACATATGAAAACATGTTGTATATAAGGCTAGCAAGTTTTCATCAAACACAATCAGTTATAAAAGTGTTATAAATAGGCTATTGAGAGTTTCCATACCTAATTATAACTTCAATATACGATACAAGTAATGTTCTTGTTTGTCGTGTTATAAACATGTTTTGATAACAATTATGAAATTTCTCAATGCATTCTACAAACTGCACTACAATATGGCTGACCAATGAAGCAATGTATAGAATGAAAAAACCATTTAATTTGTGCTTCCAACATCACATGTACGTTTTGTAACAGAGAAAAGCAAGATAATTGAAAAAGAAAGTTGATATTATATTTGTTTTTGTTTTTTGCAATGTTGGGGAATTTTATCCAGTATTTTTTATGCAATTCAATTTATTATTTTAAGCTTTTTCTAAGAGCCAATGAGTTTTTTAGAAGTAGAATGTATAGATTTACCATAAATTTGTAACCGCATAAATGTTTGCAGTACGGAATCTCAGTTTAGACACTTTATTCGCACGATAAAATTCCTCAGAAAAATAAGTTGTGTAAATTGATGATAAACAAATTCCATTCGTAGGAAGGATGAAATTAATTTACAACATGTTCAATATGTTATATATAGATCCCACCTCTTGCGCTTTTTTCGGTATAAATAAGTTGTATATAAGTAACTAGACGTAAATGTTTACCGCTGATATTGTCATAAATAAGTTTTGTAAACCCGTTTATGACAAATTGTGTTGCTTGGGACGCCGTCATCTGCAAGTTGTCTCAACGTGCAATTGTCACTAAGACAATTGTCAATTTCTCTAACGTAGAAATTGTACAAAAGTGGGCTTAAACATGAGCCTTGAGGGAGACCCATGTAGCTAAAATACCAGGAAGAGGTCTGAGATGAACTCTGAGGGTATTCTGAGATGATTCAAGCAAATTTTTCAGAAAATACGTGTAAAGATAAGAGTATCAGGATTGTTGTCACCGTTTCCTTAGCAGCTCCACAAACAAAGCAATTTTGGGAACAGCTTTAGCTATAAGTTTTATTTATTGTTTAGTTACAATTTCCAATTTTAATTTCATGCAATACTCACAAATTTTCAGTGATCTTCGTAAACTCGACGAGATTCTTCCCTATATTGTGATTTAGGTTAGGCAAACTAGAATTTTCAATTTGTAAATACTAAATTAACTTATTCGCTATAAATCTAAGTTTTACTCACTTTTAATTGTAGCTATTAGTTGTAAGTAGGTTTTATTATTATAATAACTATTTATTTTATGCAATAAACGAATTTTAAATTCACTAAAATTTTACTGAGCAAATTTTACTTGATGGAAATGACTTGTGTTTTTATCTACTTCTTTTTTGCTGCTTTTCTTTTTCGGGCCGTCATCATGACGGACGTCAAACGAGCCCGGTGGAAAACTTGTGGCCACGTCAGGGATGTACCTTACATCGCCGTAGCATTGGGGGGCTTTTCGCCGTCACATTCCCCCGCCCGTGATCCGTTATAATCTCCTGCTCTAGGATCACCATTCTCCATGACGTCGAGCATTGCCAGCTTGACGACCGGTCTTCGAACTACTCCTCTACTTGTACGCACCCAAGCTTGCCGTATTCGTCCATCTGCACCAACCGCTACCCTCTCCACTCGTCCTCTTGTCCATTGATTCCTAGTTGATCCATCCACCACGAATACTAAATCTCCCTCCTGGATATCCTTCACGTCCTCAAACCACTTCGACCGCCGTGAAATCACCGGAAGGTATTCCTTCAACCATCGCTTCCAGAACTCATCAGCCAAATGTTGCGCCAGCTTCCAACTACTTCTCAGTGTCATCCGATAATCCGTAAGTTGAACTGCTAACTGCTTGACCCCGGAAGAACTCCCCAGAAGAAAGTGGTTTGGCGTTAATGATTCCTGATCTGCCGACTCCAAGGGAATGTACGTTAGAGGTCTAGTGTTAATCATTGCTTCAGCCTCAACTATGACTGTTTCCAGCGTCTCATCATCTGGTTTAATCGCCGCTTTAACCGAGCGCACCATTCGCTCCCATACCCCTCCCATATGGGGGGCCCCGGGTGGATTGAACGACCAGCGGGTGTTGGCGTTGGTGAACACTGACGCTAGTCTTTCCTCTCGGTCCTGAATCTCCTTCTTCAACTGGTTGTTGGCACCAATGAAATTGGTCCCATTGTCACTGAAGAATTCAGCTGGTGAACCTCTCCTTGACACAAAACGACGAACTGCTAGCACACAGGATTCAGTAGACATACTGTGTACTACTTCCATGTGAACCGCCCGGATGCTGAGGCACGTAAAAAGTGCAACCCAGCGCTTTACGTTGCTGCGTCCAACCTTTACCAAAATAGGTCCGAAGTAATCGAGGCCCACGAAAGTGAAAGGTCGTACAAAGGGTGTAACCCGGACATTCGGTAACTGGGCCATCGGTGGTGACCTCGGAATGGCATTGCGTATGCGACAATATACGCATTCCTTCGTGACTCTAGCGACTAACGCCCGCATCTTCGGAATGTGGTACTCCTGTCTCATCTCGTTTATCACGGTTTCCCTGTTGGCGTGACGGAAACGCCGGTGAAACTTGTCTGCCAGAAGAAAGGTGATTCTGGACTTCTGTGGCAGAATCGTAGGGTGCTTTGCTGAATATGCTACGTTTGGAGCTGCGTCGATTCTTCCTCGCATCCGCATCACTCCACATTGATCCAAGAATGGCCAAAGCTTGTAGATATTACTTGTTCTCGATATCACTGAATGCTGCAACTGCAACGTTCCGTCGAATCCGTTGAGCTGAGCTACCTCTTCAGCATACCAGTTCTGCTGCGCTTGTTTATACAACGTAGCTTCTGCCTTGGCTAATTCCTCCTGTTTCAGCACTCCTAACTCCAACTGTTTGCCTTGACGTTTCCGCTTCAAATTATCGACGAATCGTTGAACTAGTGACACTGTTCGCTCAAGTTTTTCCCAGCGGCTGAACCTGGTTGCCTCGATCAACGACTGGATCTTCGTGTGCACGTTCATTTTGCGAATTTCTTCTTCAGTAGAATACGGCACAGTCCTCTGCTGCGGCCAGAAACTCTCCGGTTTGGATAGAAATTTTGGCCCACGAAACCAAGGGTTATCAACGTTGAAGTTCGGTCCCCCTCCCCACTTTGTCGCCTGATCCGCCACATTCAGCTCACTTTCGATTTTCCTCCATTCTTGTACATCCGTCGTAGAAAGAATCTCCGCCACTCGAAATCCCACGAACTGCTGATACTTCCGATTATCTGACCGCAACCATGCCAAAACTATCTCGGAGTCTGTCCAAAGCACACGCCGAGTTACTGGAAGTTTATGCATAGCCATCACACTGTTTAGTAAACGGGATCCTAACACAGCACCTTGTAGCTCCAGACGGGGAATTGACATCATCTTGAGGGGAGCTACTTTCGCTTTTCCGGCCACCAACGCTACTGCAGGACCTTGGGTTGTGTCCACTCGGAAGTAAACTACGCTGGCATAAGCTGACCTGCTAGCGTCTACGAAAACATGGATTTCGAGCGTCGAGTAGGTCTCATATCCGGCTCCGAAGAAATAGCACCGTGGAATTCGAACCAAATTAAGCTCACTAAGGAGTGCCGTCCAGCGTTTCCACTGGCCACATAGTGTATTATTTATTGGTTCGTCCCAGTCTGCACCTGATGCCCAAATGTCCTGCATCAATGTTCGGCCGTGGATCAAGAAGAAGCTAATCAACCCTAACGGATCGAATAAGCTCATAACTACCCGAAGCACCTCTCGCTTCGTAGGTGTGTGCGAATCGTCCAGAGCGTGTTTGAGATCCTCGCGCAACACAAAAGTGTAGGTGAGTTCGTCACCGCTCGGGATCCATTTCATTCCTAGGACGGATTCAACGTTTTCACCTTTCTCCGCCTTGATTGACTTCTCCGGTTCCATTGATTCTGCTCCGACTTGCACTGCGATCGCTGGATCGTTGGAAAGAAAATTACGAATCTCAAATCCACCTTCGGCATGTATCCGCTTCACTTCACTTCCCACCTTCACTGCTTCTTCTGCTGTTGAAAAACTGTCCAAGTAGTCATCCACGTAATGGTAATGGACAATTGCTGCTACCGCTCTCGGAAACTCAGCTTCAAACTCCCGTGCATTCAGATTTTTAATGTATTGCGCGGAACTCGGCGAACATGTCGCTCCAAATATTGCCACGTCCATAATAAAGACCACGACCTCTAGTGTTGCACGATCACGCCAGAGAAATCGCAAGAACTGGCGATCCGCTAGCCTGATGAAGAAGCGGTGAAACATTTCCTTGATATCTCCCGTTAGCGCATAGGCATATAAGCGGAAGTGGAAGAAAACTGCAATCAGCGACGTGAGGAAGTCAGGACCTTTCCGTAACGCTGAATTGAGTGATATTCCGTTTACTTTTGCGGCGGCATCCCAGATGATCCTCACCTTGTCGGGCTTTTTAGGATTGAGCACTACCCCAATCGGCAAATACCAGCACTTCTCCGGATATGTATTTGATAGTTCGTCCGTCGTAGCTTGATGAGCGTAACCTTTCTCTTGATACTCCCGCATTTGTTGACGCACGCAGTCGTAAAGATGAGGTTCTTTACTGAGTCGTTTCTCTAGCGAGCGCAAGCGTCGGTACGCCATCCCGTAGCTATTTGGAAACTGGATATCATCCCACTTCCATAGAAGACCAGTCTCAAATCGGTTGCCAATCCTGCTAGTCGTCGATTGAAGTAGCATACGTGCTCGTTTATCCTCCTCTGATTCGAGCGGAGTTAGCGGAGGTGCTACGCCCGAGTTGTCTAGCGTTATGTAATCGCGGACTAGCTGGTTCAAGTCTGGCTCTGGGTTGGTCCATCCTCCAACGTGAAACCCACAGGTGAATGGTTCCGAAACTGTCTGAGAGCAGCCGTAGATACTCCAGCCAAGACGACACTTGGCTGCCATAGGTTGGCCCCAACCTCCTTCCCGAATCTTCAACGGAACCGTCAGTTTCAGGTTGTCAAGACCAATCAAGAGCTTCGGTGTTACGTTTTCGTAATCGCTGATCGGCAAACTTCGTAGATGCGGAAAACTTGTTGCTAAGTTGTGGTAGTGCAACGATTGCGTCGGTAGTTGAAGGCTAGCTACGGTACGTGCGTCGAATAACTTATAGCGTTTTGCCAGCTCGCAACCCGAAATCTCCACCCGAATCCGCCTGGAGTTCGGTTCGTTCCGTGTAATATTCCCGGTCCATTGTAGATTCAACGTTTCAATCGGCCCAGTGATTCCCAACTGCTCAGCTACTCCATCATCCAATAGTGTCAGCTGCGAACCTTCATCCACGAATGCATACACGTTCAGCTTACATTTGTCTCCATATAGCGTTACTGGTAGAATCCGGAAGAAGGGACTACCGTTGGTTTGTTGCTCCGAATGGCTCGTAGAGACTACTGTCGGTACGGATGGTGTGGCCGAATGCAACAGTGTATGATGACGCAAACGACAACCTTCTATTCCGCACCCTCGCCAGGTCTTACACGGCCATCTCCCGGGTTGGTTCAAGCAAGTTCGACACAGCGAGTTCTGACTGATGACCTTGAATCGCTCATCGATATTCAACGACTTGAACTTGAAACAGTCCATTACCCTGTGACCATCCATCTTGCAATATGCACAGATCTTTATCGGCTGCTTTGTCGGTGTGGTTGACTTGTTGTTCGACGAAGTCGGCCCAGTCGAAGGATACTCTGAATGAGCTTGTACGTAACCTCGATCTTTGGGCCTAGAATTCACTCCTTTGGTTGACTTTCCAGTCGGTGTGTCATCCATCACTTCGAACGCTAGCTCCATCAACGAAGACATGAACAATCCAAAAGTTCCAAGATTCACTTCCTCTACGGCACTTTTGAATGCTGACCACTTCAACCGGTAATCGACAGGAAGCTTTCCTACAAGATCGTGAAGCAGCGACGGATTCGTCAGATGTGGCTGTTGGTTTGCATTCTTCAGGTGTTCCACCAGATTGTCAACCGCCATACCGAAGTCGACTATGCTTTCCAAGTTGTCCATTCTTGGAGGAGGAAGATGACGGATTTTCTCGGTGAGTGCTTTAATCAAAGTTTCTGGTCGACCATAGCGTGACTGCAAAGTCTTGATAACATGAGGAACGCTATTCGGAGAAAGAAGTCTGCTGCGCACCATTTCCAAAGCAGAACTCTTCAGGCAGCGTTGTAACCGAATCAGATTTTCATCCTGGGAGAATCCACACGTAGCTGTTGACCTTTCGAAGTTGCTGATACAGATAGGCCACTCCTCCGGATTTCCCGAAAACACCGGAAGATCTTTTCCCATCACTTGACGTGCCGCTAACTGATGCTTGGTAGGGCCCTTCTCTGCTTGTTGACTTTTGATATCTCGGTCGCTATCGTCGTCGCTCGTCTCGGTCTTGTCCCACTTTTCGTTAGGCTTGATTTTTCTCCGAGCTTTGTCAGGAACTGGATGGGGAACGTCGTCGAAGATTGGTTTTCCGGGTTTCTTATCCGAAACTTTGCGAGAATCCTTGGCTGCTGACGTGGACTTCTTTTTGTTGTCTCCCTCTGTCTGCTTGCCGGATTTCTGCAACCACTTTTTCACCTTCTCAACAGATTTCGCCGTCTCACTTTGACAAACGCTCGAAGCTTCACTACCGCGCTGTGACAACTGTCGAACAAGACTTTTCTTCTTCTCAAGCGACTGCTGCCTCATTTCTTTTTGGGCTTTACGGAACTTTTCTTCATCCGCGAGCTGTTTCTCCTGGAAAGCTTTATCTTCTGCCAACTTTTTGGCTTCTAATTCTAACTCGCGATCCCTCAATTGCTTCTCTAACCTTAACTTCTTTTGCTTCAACTCTTTTTCTTCTTTCAGTTCCTGCTCTTTTATCCGCTCTTGCTCCTCCAACATTTGCATTTCTATCTCGAGTGCCCTACTTCTAACACTAGAGGTAACACTTACTGAGTCTTTCGTTGCCAACTTCTTACTCCTTCTGGTATTCGGTTTGTTAAAATCTGAAGCCCTCGACGATTTTCCTCCGTTGGATGGAACTACCAGCGTCTTTTGCTTCAAACGTTCTTCTTCAACATCTTCCAACGTCATTGGAGTTTGATTGAAGGTGCCACAAGAGGTGCACTTCCACGGTTGATTAGATACGCCTTCATCGACCTCCGCACAGCTGAAGTGGTACCAGGAACCGCAAGAGTCACAGGCCACCATATTTTCGATGTTGTCCAGGTGCTCACAGCCCACGCAATTGGACTCATCCTGTGGCTTATCTCCATCATTAACCTGACTCATTTTCAGGGGATCTCGCGATGAAAATTTCTAAAGAAATTGTTGTCACCGTTTCCTTAGCAGCTCCACAAACAAAGCAATTTTGGGAACAGCTTTAGCTATAAGTTTTATTTATTGTTTAGTTACAATTTCCAATTTTAATTTCATGCAATACTCACAAATTTTCAGTGATCTTCGTAAACTCGACGAGATTCTTCCCTATATTGTGATTTAGGTTAGGCAAACTAGAATTTTCAATTTGTAAATACTAAATTAACTTATTCGCTATAAATCTAAGTTTTACTCACTTTTAATTGTAGCTATTAGTTGTAAGTAGGTTTTATTATTATAATAACTATTTATTTTATGCAATAAACGAATTTTAAATTCACTAAAATTTTACTGAGCAAATTTTACTTGATGGAAATGACTTGTGTTTTTATCTACTTCTTTTTTGCTGCTTTTCTTTTTCGGGCCGTCATCATGACGGACGTCAAACGAGCCCGGTGGAAAACTTGTGGCCACGTCAGGGATGTACCTTACATCGCCGTAGCATTGGGGGGCTTTTCGCCGTCACAAGGATGGTTCCAACATTCATTGTATTTTGAGATATTCTGAGATCAATCAAACATCAAATTCTTTTTACAGTTGAAACCAAAGTTTTTGAAACTTTGGGAGTTTCTGTCGAAACAAAATTTGGACAACTTACGTTTATAGCTGCCTATTTGCCATTCCAAGAAGAATGTTCTAGAGGTTGATTTTACTGCAAAACACCGCTCATGGAATAGTTCTAAACGTAATATTCAGTTTGATGATTGTTCTGCAGGTTATTACACTATTCAATATCCAAAAAGCCCAACATGCCTTTCTTCAGCAAGAAATCCCTTCTTCTTATTTCTTCTTCTTTGTATTTCAAGCTTATTGCATATCGCATATTAGCTTATTGCGTGCTCTCAACTTAGTGTTCTAGATGCACTTCCACAGTTATTAATTGAGAGCTTTCGATGCCTTTACCATTTTTGCATTGGTATAATTGTGTGGCAAGTCCAATCATACTTCTATGCCCAGGGAAGTCGAGAAATTTTCCAACCCGACTGAGCTAAGGGAGGCCCTAAGCAAGAAATCCCTCCACTATTGATTCATGTCAACTTTGTAGCCAATTGGTTACCCATGCTGACTTCGGTTCTGATCACCTTCCAGTAACTTTTGAAATATCCCAAGAAATAATTTGTAATCCCAACAGCTCTACTTTCAATTACCATAGAGCTGATTGGGAGCAGTATCGAACATTTATGGAATATAACTTCGATCCAAACATTCCTTTGCAAACCAAAGATGAAATTAATTATGCTCTTGAATCTCTGACTACTTCTATAGTTGAAGCAAGAGCTGCCTCAGTACCAAAATGCGAGGTTAAATTCGATTCAATTATAATAGACGATGATCTTCAGCTCTTGATCCGTCTTAAAAATGTCCGTAGGAGACAATATCAAAGAACACGCGATCCTGCCATGAAGGTTATCTGGCGGGATTTGCAAAAACAAATTAAAAAGCGATTCTCTGCCTTGAGGAACAAAACTTTTGAAAATAATATTTCCAAATTAGACCCGAGTTCCAAACCCTTTTGGAAACTCACAAAAATTTTGAAAAAACCTCAAAAGTCTATTCCAGCGCTTAAAGAAGGTGGTAAAATTTTGATCACAAATTTGGAAAAAGCTCAGAAACTTGCTAAGCCATTCGAGAGTTCCCATAATTTCAGTTTGGGTCTTACTAGTCCTATTGAGAATCAGGTTGCTCGGGATTTTCTGAATATTTTCTCTCGGGAAAATATTTTTGATGATTCCTGGGGGACTGATTTGGACGAAGTAAGGTCTATAACTAAAAATTTTCAAAATATGAAAGCTCCAGGTGATGATGGAATTTTCTATATCCTCATCAAAAAACTCCCAGAGAGTACCTTGTCTTTCTTGGTAAAATTATTTAACAGATGTTTCCATTTGGCATACTTTCCTGATAAATGGAAAAATGCAAAAGTTGTTCCAATTTTGAAGCCGGATAAAAATCCAGCTGAAGCTTCTAGCTACCGTCCAATAAGTTTGCTTTCTTCAATAAGTAAACTTTTTGAAAAGATAATTTTGAATAGAATGATGCTTCACATCAATACGAACTCAATTTTTGCAGATGAGCAGTTTGGATTTCGCCATGGGCATTCAACTACTCATCAACTCTTAAGAGTTAACAATTTAATTCGTTCAAACATATCTGAAGGCCACTCAACTGGAGTTGCTCTTCTAGACATAGAAAAAGCATTCGACAGTGTTTGGCATGAAGGTTTGATTGCTAAATTGAAAAAGTTTAATTTTCCACTTTATATTATGAAATTAGTTCAAAATTATTTAACTGACAGAACTCTTCAAGTAAATTATCAAAATTCCAAATCTAATCGACTACCTGTTAGGGCAGGAGTTCCTCAGGGTAGCATTCTTGGGCCTATATTGTATAACATTTTCACTTCGGACCTCCCTGATTTGCCTCAGGGTTGCCACAAATCTTTGTTCGCTGATGACACAGGCATTTCCGCTAAAGGAAGAAGTCTTCGTGTTATTTGCAGCAGACTTCAGAAAAGTTTAGATATTTTCTCTTCTTATTTACAAAAATGGAAGATTTCTCCCAACGCTTCCAAAACTCAACTTATAATATTTCCACATAAGCCTAGAGCTTCGTTTTTGAAACCTAGTAGTAGTCACATAGTCACTATGAACGGAGTTCCAATTTCCTGGTCAAACCAAGTGAAATATCTTGGATTAATACTTGACCAAAAATTAACTTTTTAAGATCACATTGAGGGCATTCAAGCCAAATGTAACAAATATATAAAATGTTTGTATCCTCTTATAAACAGGAAATCCAAACTTTGCCTGACGAATAAACTTCTAATATTTAAACAAGTTTTTAGACCGGCCATGCTTTACGCTGTACCAATATGGTCTAGTTGCTGCACTACCAGGAAAAAAGCACTTCAAAGGATTCAGAACAAAATTCTGAAAACGGTTTTGAAGTTGCCTCCCTGGTACAGTACAACCGAAGTACATAGAATTTCGAATGTTGAGACTTTAGCACAAATGTCCAACAAAATAATTAATAATTTCAGGCAAAAATCGTTGCAATCCTCAATTGCAACGATTAATTCCCTTTATACTTAGATAAGATTTAGTTTTAGTTTTTAGTTTTAAGATATCAATTGTTATACTGACATGCAGGTTAAAAAACCTGTTTAAAATACTGAATTGCCAAGACATGAACAATGTAAAAACACTTAGATATATATCATAACAATTAAGGCTGGTACGTTACTGCAGTAACTGGAGCACCTAGGTTAAAATGAAATGTAATTTATTTTGAATTTGGAACAAATAAAGAGTTAAAAAAAAAAAAAAAAATCTCTCAGATGCTGGAGTCGGTTTGCCAGATTGAGTCTATATTCACGAGAAATCAACGCTTAAAGTCATTGTTTACATTTGGTAAATAGGCCTTTTTTTATATGTTTCTCTAGTTACTAGCTTTCGCTATCATACTTCAAAACCATAATAGGTCAAAATAAAAACGATAAAGTTGAGTGTTGTGGAGCCCAATCTGAGTAAGCCTACTTGTCGGATTGAAAACTATTTAGAACCAAATCGACTCCGGTTAGGCATTTTGATGTCATTTGTGACAACTGTCAAACTTGCCATTTCCGTTCCACTTCCGCCCACATTGCGTTTGGGCCTTAACTCTATTCCATGCGCTAGATGACAGCGAGGCTAGAACAAAAAAGCGTACAAATTAAGAACGGTCAGATTACCATGGATCCACGGTACTGCTGAAAATTTGACAGCTAAGGAACTACCGAATGCGAAGCTACCAGCTAGAAGTTGGTAAGTATATTTTAAACTGTTGAACTTTGAAAATCTTTTTAATTTTCAACAGTAGTGAATTTCCGGCCAATGTTTTGATTTATCTATGACGCGGGAGATTCGTGGAATCCCAGAACATCATTGTTCCATGATTGTTCCGTCAATTTACGCTGCAAAGTTTGGCCAAGTTGATTCCGCAAGATCGTTCTTCACAGATGGATCACTAATAGAGTCGTCCGCTGGTTTTGGTATTTTCAACGAATTTCATAGCGCCTCTCGAATGCTTCAAGCTCCTTGTTCCGTATATGTTGCTGAACTGGCGGCAATATACTATACGCTAGAAACGATCGCCTCACTTGCACCAGATCACTATTTTATTTTTACGGATAGTCTCAGTTCTGTCGAGGCTATCCGTTCCATTAGGCCGGTAAAGCACTTCTCGTATTTTCTCTTGAAAATACGAGAACTGCTTAGTACTTTATCCGTGCGCTCTTTCATCATCACCTCCGCGTGGGTCCCTTCGCATTGCTCAATTTTGGGCAATGAGAAGGCGGATTCACTTGCGAAGGTGGGCGCTATGGAAGGCGACATTTATGATCGACAAATCGCCTATAGTGAATTTTTCTCTATTTATCGTCAGCAGTCGCTCGTTAGCTGGCAACATCAATGGAGTGAAGGGAGCTTGGGACGATGGCTACATTCAATTATCCCTAAGGTGTCGAAGTTTGCATGGTTCAAAGGGTTGGACTTGAGTCGAGACTTCATACGCGTGATGTCTCGTCTCATGTCCAATCACTATTGTCTAAACGCTCACTTGTTCCGTGTGGGGTTGGGAGACAGCAATCTCTGTGAATGTGGACAAGGTTACCAGGACGCTGATCACATCCTTTGGTCTTGTGCGGAGTATCGTGGAGTCAGATCACATTTTTATGATTCCCTTCGGGCTCGAGGTAGACAACCTAATGTTCCAGTTCGGGATATTTTGGCTAGACGCGATCTGGAGTTTATGAAACTCATATATGTTTACTTTAAGAATACTAACCTTAGATTGTAAGTTTGATTAACCTTGTGTTTAGTTTGTGTATTGTGCGTGTAGTTTTTTTTAATGTTTGTTTTCAAGATGAATAGAAA